TGTGTGTGAGACAGTCCTGTGGCCTGTGTGAGAGACAGTCCTGTAGCCTGTGTGTGTGTGAGACAGTCCTGTAGCCTGTGTGTGTGAGAGACAGTCCTGTAGCCTGTGTGTGTGTGAGACAGTCCTGTAGCCTGTGTGTGTGAGAGACAGTCCTGTAGCCTGTGTGTGTGAGAGACAGTCCTGTAGCCTGTGTGAGAGACAGTCCTGTAGCCTGTGTGTGTGAGAGACAGTCCTGTAGCCTGTGTGAGAGACAGTCCTGTAGCCTGTGTGAGAGACAGTCCTGTAGCCTGTGTGTGTGTGAGACAGTCCTGTAGCCTGTGTGAGAGACAGTCCTGTAGCCTGTGTGAGAGACAGTCCTGTAGCCTGTGTGAGAGACAGTCCTGTAGCCTGTGTGAGAGACAGTCCTGTAGCCTGTGTGTGTGAGACAGTCCTGTAGCCTGTGTGTGTGTGAGACAGTCCTGTAGCCTGTGTGTGTGAGACAGTCCTGTAGCCTGTGTGTGTGAGAGACAGTCCTGTAGCCTGTGTGTGAGACAGTCCTGTAGCCTGTGTGTGTGAGACAGTCCTGTAGCCTGTGTCTGTGAGACAGTCCTGTAGCCTGTGTGAGAGACAGTCCCGTAGCCTGTGTGTGTGTGAGACAGTCCTGTGGCCTGTGTGAGAGACAGTCCTGTAGCCTGTGTGTGTGTGAGACAGTCCTGTAGCCTGTGTGTGTGTGAGAGACAGTCCTGTAGCCTGTGTGTGTGTGAGACAGTCCTGTAGCCTGTGTGAGAGACAGTCCTGTAGCCTGTGTGTGTGTGAGACAGTCCTGTGGCCTGTGTGAGAGACAGTCCTGTAGCCTGTGTGTGTGAGAGACAGTCCTGTAGCCTGTGTGTGTGTGAGACAGTCCTGTAGCCTGTGTGTGAGACAGTCCTGTAGCCTGTGTGTGTGAGAGACAGTCCTGTAGCCTGTGTGTGTGTGAGACAGTCCTGTAGCCTGTGTGTGTGTGAGACAGTCCTGTAGCCTGTGTGTGTGTGAGACAGTCCTGTAGCCTGTGTGTGAGACAGTCCTGTAGCCTGTGTGTGTGAGAGACAGTCCTGTAGCCTGTGTGTGTGTGAGACAGTCCTGTAGCCTGTGTGTGTGTGAGACAGTCCTGTAGCCTGTGTGTGTGAGAGACAGTCCTGTGGCCTGTGTGTGTGAGACAGTCCTGTAGCCTGTGTGTGAGACAGTCCTGTAGCCTGTGTGTGTGAGAGACAGTCCTGTAGCCTGTGTGTGTGTGAGACAGTCCTGTAGCCTGTGTGTGTGTGAGACAGTCCTGTAGCCTGTGTGTGTGTGAGACAGTCCTGTAGCCTGTGTGTGAGACAGTCCTGTAGCCTGTGTGTGTGTGAGACAGTCCTGTAGCCTGTGTGTGTGTGAGACAGTCCTGTAGCCTGTGTGTGTGTGAGAGACAGTCCTGTAGCCTGTGTGAGAGACAGTCCTGTAGCCTGTGTGTGTGTGAGACAGTCCTGTGGCCTGTGTGAGAGACAGTCCTGTAGCCTGTGTGTGTGTGAGACAGTCCTGTAGCCTGTGTGTGTGTGAGACAGTCCTGTAGCCTGTGTGTGTGTGAGACAGTCCTGTAGCCTGTGTGTGTGTGAGACAGTCCTGTAGCCTGTGTGTGTGTGAGACAGTCCTGTAGCCTGTGTGTGTGAGAGACAGTCCTGTAGCCTGTGTGTGTGTGAGACAGTCCTGTGGCCTGTGTGAGAGACAGTCCTGTAGCCTGTGTGTGAGACAGTCCTGTAGCCTGTGTGTGTGTGAGACAGTCCTGTAGCCTGTGTGTGTGAGAGACAGTCCTGTAGCCTGTGTGTGTGAGAGACAGTCCTGTAGCCTGTGTGTGTGTGAGACAGTCCTGTAGCCTGTGTGTGTGAGAGACAGTCCTGTAGCCTGTGTGTGTGAGAGACAGTCCTGTAGCCTGTGTGAGAGACAGTCCTGTAGCCTGTGTGTGTGTGAGACAGTCCTGTAGCCTGTGTGAGAGACAGTCCTGTAGCCTGTGTGTGTGTGAGACAGTCCTGTAGCCTGTGTGTGTGTGAGACAGTCCTGTAGCCTGTGTGTGTGAGACAGTCCTGTAGCCTGTGTGTGAGACAGTCCTGTAGCCTGTGTGTGTGAGAGACAGTCCTGTAGCCTGTGTGTGTGTGAGACAGTCCTGTAGCCTGTGTGTGTGTGAGACAGTCCTGTAGCCTGTGTGTGTGAGAGACAGTCCTGTAGCCTGTGTGTGTGAGAGACAGTCCTGTAGCCTGTGTGTGTGTGAGACAGTCCTGTAGCCTGTGTGTGTGTGAGACAGTCCTGTAGCCTGTGTGAGAGACAGTCCTGTAGCCTGTGTGTGTGTGAGACAGTCCTGTAGCCTGTGTGTGTGTGAGACAGTCCTGTAGCCTGTGTGTGTGTGAGACAGTCCTGTAGCCTGTGTGTGTGAGAGACAGTCCTGTAGCCTGTGTGTGTGAGAGACAGTCCTGTAGCCTGTGTGTGTGTGACAGTCCTGTAGCCTGTGTGTGTGTGAGACAGTCCTGTAGCCTGTGTGTGTGTGAGACAGTCCTGTAGCCTGTGTGTGTGAGAGACAGTCCTGTAGCCTGTGTGTGTGTGAGACAGTCCTGTAGCCTGTGTGTGTGAGAGACAGTCCTGTAGCCTGTGTGTGTGTGAGACAGTCCTGTAGCCTGTGTGTGAGACAGTCCTGTAGCCTGTGTGTGTGTGAGACAGTCCTGTAGCCTGTGTGTGTGTGAGACAGTCCTGTAGCCTGTGTGAGAGACAGTCCTGTAGCCTGTGTGTGTGTGAGACAGTCCTGTAGCCTGTGTGTGTGAGAGACAGTCCTGTAGCCTGTGTGTGTGAGACAGTCCTGTAGCCTGTGTGTGTGTGAGACAGTCCTGTAGCCTGTGTGTGTGTGAGACAGTCCTGTAGCCTGTGTGTGAGACAGTCCTGTAGCCTGTGTGTGTGTGAGACAGTCCTGTAGCCTGTGTGTGAGACAGTCCTGTAGGCTGTATAAGTTATCGTGTCCGGTTGTACTTTAGATCTGGCTGCAAATCTGTTTTTTTAATGAAGCACTTCTCACATTCAAGAACTTTTCATGCTTAGCAGAGCACAGTGAAGATGAGGATGGCTCCGGTCCTGTCTCGGTGGCCGGCTGTGGGGCGTGCTCTGTGGCGGGCACCGCTGGAGGACTTGATATATAAGCCACCACCTGTGTCAGGTTACCTTTTATCTATGACAACTAACTGCACCCAAGGAAAATGACTTCTATCTAGCAGGAGTGGGGAACCATATTTCTGCTGAGGGCCATTTGGATACTCAGAACATCATCACTCGCCATACACAATGGTCACCACCGCAGCCTCGCCACTGGAAGCTGAGGAGAAGCATATGTGCCTGTCCTGTGGGTATGCAGAATGATTCCAAGGACTATAAATAGCCCATAGCCAGACATTCCTCCCTCCAGCACACAAAAAGTCCTTTTCCCAGCCCGGGTGACTGTGCCAGGATGACATTTACTCGGGTGTACATGGGACCAACAAAGCAGGACAGCAGCATCTGCCCATTGCCCTGGATGCGGCTTAACACTCAATTTGAGTGGCGGCACATTACCAGAGGGATGGAACGGCATCAGATCTACTCAGCAGTCAAGTTTGTTCCTGAAAACTTAGCAACAGGATATGTGATTTGAAAGGACTGAGGAGTACGTAGCTCTGATTTCCACATTGTAGAAGCACATACATTTTTGCCCTTTAAGTCTCAATGTGCCAGGCGCCAGTGGCTCACGCCTGTAATCCTAGCTACTCAGGAGGCTGAGATCTGAGGATCACAGTTTTAAGTCAGTCCAGGGAGACAAATCTGAGAGCTCCTTATCTCCAATTCACTAGCAAGAAACCTGGAGGTGTAGCATAAGTGGCAAAGCACCAGGCTTGAACACAAAAGCCAAATGAGAGCATGAGGCTCTGAGTTCAAGTCCTAGTACTGTCACGTACACAAAACAAAAACTTCCTAAAATACCAAGGGTGTGGTGCGGCAAGCCTGTGATTCCAGCACTTGGGAGGCAGAAGCTGGAAGGGCAGCTACTCAGACAGACCCGTCTCATAGACCACGGGCTGGGATGTAGCACAGTGGTAAGCCACTGGCCCAGCACGAGGTGGGGCCTGAGCACCATCCCCAGCAAGCCCCTTTCCACCCCACAAAACAACAACAACAACTGGGCAGGAAACAAATACATAGAAAAGCAGACAATAACCAGAGCTGCCCTGATACGTTCAGAAAACCATGAGGCCGAGTCATTGCAAAGAAAGGAGAATGAGGGGAGACCACAGCCCTGCAGCCGGCGTACAGGCCAGCATAACCACAGCGCGGCCCTTCTCCCTGCCTGTCACCACCGAATGCTTTTCCCTGCTGTGGTCCTCAGTCCTGTGCACCCTGGTTGCGCACCCCCACCTCCCCACTCCTGGGCCTCACTGCATTTCCCCCGGGACACGCCTGGTCACTCTGGACTCTCGATGCTCCCCGTGTGGCAGTAGGCTGCCTACAACACGTCCCCACTGCCACCACACCAAGCTTCCGGGGAAGTCTGGGGCACGAGGAGAGCCAGGGTCCCTGCTTACCCGGGGACCCCATGTGGGCAGTCAGCTCATGCTCCCAGACCCTCCTCGGTACACACTGCGCTCCCTAACCTTAATGACATCCTTGAAAACACAGCATGAAACACCGCTTTCCTTCCCGAAGTTTTGCACGAACACATCCTTTTCTCTGCCCACTTCTCAAGTAACCCCACGCCACCATCCGACCTGAAGGGTAGGATTTTCTCCCACACATGCACACAATTAGCATGAGCTAAGTTAACTCTCTTTCCACTAGGAGATCCTTATGTCTTAAGTTTTTCAAGGCCATTTTAGGGACCCATGCTCAGCCCACACTCAATGTAACCCCAGACCCATAGACCTGGGGCTGCTGGACGCAGGGACAAGACACGCGTGCAGAGGGCACCTTGGGCCACGCTAGCTGCAGCCTGGCCCCCTTACCCCAATGTGCTGGAAGAGCCAGGACCGCATCACGTTGGTGGCATGCTTTGGCAGGACGCCCCTCTTGTTCTTGGACGAGCTGTCATCTTGGTGTAGAATGCTGAGATCTTGGTTCAGCTGTAACTGGAGCTTGAACATTTGACCGATAACATTAGAGAGGAAGCGATGACACGTGCACACAGCTGTGGCTTTAGAGAGGAGCCCCCCCACGGAGTGACGGCTGGCTTTATGTAAAAGTGGACAAGCCAGACCTATGGGGACTCATCTTTTTGTTGTTGTTGTTGGTCGTGGGGCCTGAACTCTGGGCCTGGGCGCTGTCCCTCAGCTCTTCAGCTCAAGGCTAGCTCTCTACCACTTGAGCCCCAGTGCCACTTCTGGATTTTTCTGCTTATGTGGTGCTGAGGAATGGAACCCAGGGCCTCAGGCATGCAAGGCAAGCGCTCTACCACTGAGCCACCTTCCCAGCCCGGGTACTCATCTTCTGAGGCACATCTAACATTGCAATGTCTCTTTGTTCTTCATCCCCACTTCCAGCCCCATATCTGTTAAAGTCCTTGGACTCTTCCAGGGATAAGTGATATCTTTTTTTTTCTTTTTGGTCAGTCACGGGGCTTGAACTCTGGGTCTGAATGCTGTTCCTCAGCTCTGAAGCTAACTAACGCTCTACCATTTGAGCCATGGCGCCACTTCCAGTGTTCTGGTGGTTTATTGGAGATGAGAGTTTCACAGCTTTTCCTGCCCGGGCTGGCTTTGAACTGCAATCCTCAGATCTCAGCCTCCTGAGTAGCTAGGATGACAGGCGTGAGCCCAGCTCTGGGCAGTGATATCTTTCTGTATACAGTTGAGTTGTCCTGGCTGCCCCCAGAGGCTCCAGGATGGAAACACCAAGGCAGGATTACAGCCCGAAGGCTTAGAAGGGCTGACGGTTAAGGTGATCACTAGTGTCCAGTAGGTTTGTCAGTCATGCTTATACCACGACGCCCCCATAACCAACCCAAGAACAGGGCCCAGACCCCAGAAGCTTCCTGGAGGCAGAGTACCTGGGAGGGCGGAGCTCCAAGCTCCTTCACCTGGCAAGGTACAGCAGCCTCACCAGTGCTGCTTGAGACACCTGGCACGGTAAGCTGGCATACTGCTTCCGAGTTCTGGGAGCTGCTCTAGCAAACTGGCCGTAAGCCAGGGTTGTGGGCGCCCCCATTTTTAGCCAGTCACCAGAGGCACAGGCCACACTGTGGGGATGACTCGGCTCAGGGAACTGCGGCTCGTCCAGGAGGCACGTCGGAGCTGGGCTGGGAGAGGGGACTCGGGCTGGTGCCGGCTCAGGAGCCCACGGCAAGCCCACTGGCAGGGACACGCTGTGCACAGGCAGAGGGGACAGGTGCGTGGGGCAGGGTGAGAACAGAGGGAGGGCGGTCTGCTTCTCTCCTAGAATCTCTGGCCCACCACAGCATCACTATGTCAGAGAGCTCGCAGAAGTGTGTCTCAGATGGACTCCCAGGGCCTTGGAGCCCTGGAGCCAGGCCGTCGGCAGACAGGGGGAGCTCAGGTCCTCACACCAGTGCTTCCTGAGGCACCTGGTCAGCAGCAGTGATGGGAATGGACAGGGCCCTGCACCCAGGACTGACACAGGGCAGAACAGGCCAGCTGAGCAGAAGGGAAGGCAGCAGAACCCGTGCAGTGGAACACAGTCTCAGGAGAATTGCTACGGGGCCGCTGGGCGCCAGAGAGCACGGGAACACAGTGAAAAACACACAGGGAAAATCAATCAATCAGGCTCACACCTGCAATCCTATAGTTTAAGGTCAACCCAGGCAAAACTTCTCAAGAACCCATTTCCAGCAGTAAAATGTTGGGTGTGGTGGTGTGCACCTGTCTCTCACTGTGAGTGACGCATTCAAGGATCCCCACACAGACTGCCAAGGCATACACGCAAGCCCTAAAACCAACAAAGTCAAAGAGGGCTGAAGACAGGGCTTCTGGCCAGCAGGAGGCCTGGAGTGCAACCGCCAGTACCAGCAAATACAGAACAAAACGACCCACCGCCTCAAGGTGGAACAGCACTGGAATCAGAGACAGCCACATGGCAGCAACAGTGCTGGCACTGCTAAGACCGAATACCAGAACACCAACCAAGCATCAGGAGGGCGAGGCTGGAGGGGGCGGCAGGAGAGAAATACCCGCTTCCATGACAAAGGCAAAAGAAGGTATTTTAAAGGATGAGTTAAGAGACAGAGGAAAACAGAGAAAAAGGGCTGGACGGTTTGGCGGGGACGTGCGGGGCTGTGCCAGCACCTGCTGCCAGCCTGTGGCGGCATCCTATGACAGCTGAGCTGTGACAGACGCGGACCTGAGAGGAACATTCAAAGCGCCTGTGAGAAGAGGGGAAGCCGGGCACCGGGGACTCACGCCTGTCAGCCGAGCTACTCAGGAGGCTGAGATCTGAGGATCGAGGTTCAAAGCCAGCCTGGGCAGGAAGACCATGAGACTTATCTCCAATAAACCACTCAGAAAACTGGAAGTGGCGCTGTGGCTCAAGTGGTAGAGCACTCGCCTTGAGCTGAAGAGCTGAGGGACAGCACCCAGGCCCAGAGTTCAAGTCCTACCAGCAACAAAAAAAGAAGAGGGGAATAAAATCGGCACCAAGTCACAGGAGCACAAGAAAGTGGCGGGCAGAGGCCCTCCCCATAACGGCACTCTGCACAGCCATTGCTAAGTGGGCTTGTGCGGGCCACGGACGAAGGCTTCTTGGTGAAGGCCCTCAGGCAGGCAAGGCCTGCAGGGGAGGGCAACGCGTCCCATACAACGGTGACTCACGCCCTCCTGGGGGCTGCCGGGTGCACCGCCATCACCTTCTACAAGCCCAGGATGTCCGCCTGCCTGAGCCACAAGGCAGGGAGCCCTGTGGGACAGAGCAGTGTTGGAACAAGGCCATGACTACCACCTATCCTGATGGGTTGTTTTTGTGCCAGTCTTGGGAATTGAACTCAGGAACTGGGAGCTTCCCTGAGTGTTAATACTCAAGGCTAGCACTGTACCACTTGAGGTACAACTCTGGCTTTTCGGTGGCTAACTGAAGGTGAGTCTCACAGACTCTCCTGCCCTGGTGTCCAGCTGAGGGAGCTGGGGTTATCTATCACGCAGGCCACACAGGTCCAGGTACGAAGGTGCTCCAACTGGAGTACCATTTTATAGCTTTTCTATTTAAATAGCAAACTTCATTTCTAAGAAAATGCAGTTAAAGCCGGGCGCTAGTGGCTCATGCCTGTAATCCTAGCTACTCAGGAGGCTGAGATCTGAGGATCTCGGTTCAAAGCCAGCCAGGGCAGGAGAGACCATGAGACTCCTATCTCCAATAAACCACCAGAAAACCGGAAGTGGCGCTGTAGCTCAAGTGGTAGAGTGCTTGCCTTGAGCTGAAGAGCTGAGGGACAGCACCCAGGCCCAGAGTTCAAGCCCCACGACCAACCAAAAAAAAAAAGAAAGAAAGAAAATTCAGTTAAGTAGAAAACATCCTTCCTAAACAAGACAAGTAAGATTCTGATAAGATATTTGACTTGAAAATGTTTCCTCTAATGTGACACTAGGAAATTATTCTGCAACTAGACGGCTGTGTGGTCACTGGCGTTTAAAATGGAAGAGGGCGGGCTGGCGTGACGTGAGGCCCAGAGAGGGGCTGGGCTACAGCAAAACGCGGACAGGGCTAAGCCCTGCGGGCCAGGCAGCACACAGGCAGCCAGGCCTGCGTCCTTGACCCGATGAAACACTATGTAAACACGGGCTAGATAAAGGAAAAGGGGTGTAAAAGACAGGAGCTCGTGGTTCTGGTCACTCAGCTTTTGGAGCACGAACCCACTGGGTCCATCAGTGCCGGGACAATGACTGTTTCCTGCAGCAAGGGCCTGGTGTGGTGTCTCCCCCTCAGGAGGATGAAGGGGTGGCCTTGCTGGGGTCTGACTGCTTCCCTACGCTCCCGGGAGACCACAGGAGGCAGTGGAGCACAGACGCACTCAGCTCTGCGCTCGCGTCCAGGGCAGCTGCAGCCATCCACAGAAGGACGGACCCAGACACATGCTGCACACCAGCCAGGCCTGACAGAACCCAAACCAACGCTCCCCAACGAGAATCCACGCCTTGTCTTTCTCATTTAAAACTAGCTCAAAGTAAAAAAAAACAACCAACCAAACAAACAAAAAAAACAGAACGTGTTTGTGGCTCCAGAATTTAAAGGGATCCTGCAGCCTCGCAGGCCCAATGTCCTTACTCCACCCCAAAGGATGGGGAAAGGACAGGGCACAGTGTACACATCTGTCTGCCTGGTCCCTGTTGATTCGCACAGCTGTCTCTCCTGCTATGGAGGCCAGACACTTGAAATAGGGGAGCTGAGACCCCTGGCTGGATCCCCTTTGGTCTCTCATTGGCGTTTGCTTTAAATTAAGTGCCTCAGACACAGAAAAGGCACACTGCGGAGAGCCAGGAAAGCTCCCAGTGCTCGGGACGGCTCTCCCAGCCTACTGCTGGGGGTTCAGGCTGGGCCTTGTCTTGCTGTAAAACTTGCTGCTGCTCTGCAGCAGACAGAATCTCAAACCTCAGGTGAACATGAACACAAGCTGGTTAACAAGCTGCTTCTGGGGGCTGCAAAAGTCTTTCCTGAGCTGGGCATCGTGGCTCAGCCTATCATTCTAGCTACTGAGGAGGCTGAGATCTGAGGATCGAGGTTCAAAGCCAGCCTGGGCTGGACTCTTATCTCCACTGAACCACCAGAAAACTGGAAGTGGCGCTGTGGCTCAAAATAGTAGAGCACGAGCCTTGAGCTGAGGAGTTGGAGGACAGAGCCCAGGCCTAGTGTTGAAGCCCCATGACCATGACCACCACCACCACCACCATGCCACCAATAACAACAACAAAAGACTTTCCTGAAATTTGCAAATTTTCAACAGCAAGGAAGATAGGAAGTGAAAAGAAACAAACCAATTCAAACGGATTCAGCCTGAATGGAGACTGTCCAGGAGACACCACTGTCTTCAAGCAGAGGGACGGCCCATGCCTGGCCTGTCCCTCAGTGCCCATGCCTGGCCTGTCCCTCAGTGCCCACGCCTGGCCTGTCCCTCAGTGCCACACACATGGCCACCCAACCCCGAGCCTCTCAGAAGGTGGCACTCACCTGGGAGTTCTGGATCCTAATTGTCCCTGGCGACAAGGCCTGCGTGACCACCTGGCCTTGCGGAGTGACCACGGTGACAGGCTGGTACACTGTGCCACCTCAAAAGGGAGAAGAGACGTTTAAGAACTAAGCTACTTTACAACTTACTTTAACTGCTCTTGTCCTACTTAAGGAGGGAATTTCAACAATACTCTGTGAACTGACCTTCTGTGACAAATGACCAAAGGCTCACTCTCCTCCTCACTAACCCATGGAACCAAAGGGGACTTTCATGCCCCTTCGTTTTGCCTGCCTCTGCCTCTGCTATTCTCTCAATTACCACATATTAAAGACTGGCTAATGGCTCCAGATAAAGAAATACTTTCATTCTGGTTATATTTTAACCACTGGTTTTGTTTTTGTCAGTTGTGGGAATTGAACTCAGGGCCTGGGTGCTGAACCTGAGCTCATTTGCTCAAGGCTAGTGGTCTATCACTTTGAAGCACAGTGCCATTTCAGGTTTTCTGGTGGTTAATTGGAGGTAAGAGTCTCACGGGCTTTCCTGCCCAGGCTGGCTTTGAACTGAGATCCTCAGATCTCAGGCTGTTGAGTAGCATGAGCCAGTAGCACTGGGCTGGTCACTAGTGCTCTTTTTCCTGGGAGGTTTCCCATTCTGCTGTTATATGAGGTTTCAGTTACATTTTTACCATGGCCAGCAGATCCTGCTCCATTCCCAGCATGCCTTGGTCCACTCCCTTCAGAGGCTTTTGTTTCATGTGTAGCAGTCTACATATGCCAAGGAGTGCTGCAATCAGTCCCCTTCTTGAAATGGTTTTGGCTAGCCAAGTAATACTAAACTTAGGCCTAGGGCTGGGAAGGTGGCTCAGTGGTAGAGCGCTTGCCTTGCATGCATGAGGCTCTGGGTTCGATTCCTCAGCACCACATAAGCAGAAAAAAAAAGCTGGAAGTGGTGCTATAGCTCAAGTGGTAGCACGCTAGCCTTGAGCTGAAGAGCTGAGGGACAGCGCCCAGGCCCAGAGTTCAGGCCCCACAGCGACAAAACTCTTTTTTTTTTTTTTCTTTTTGCTTATGTGGTGCTGAGGAATCGAACCCAGGGCCTCATGCATGCAAGGCAAGCGCTCTACCACTGAGCCACCTTCCCAGCCCACAAAACTCTTTTTTTAATAAAATAAAATAAAAATAGCTGGGTGCCAGTGGCTCACATGTGCAATCCTAGCTACTCAGGAGGCTGAGATCTGAGGATCACAATTCAAAGCCAGCCCGGGCAGGAAAGTCTGTGAGACTCTTATCTCCAAAAAACCACTAGAAAACCAGAAGTGGCGCTGTGGCTCAAGCAGTAGAGCGTTCGCCTTGAGCTGAAGAGCTGAGGGAGAGCGCCCAGGCCCAGAGTTCAAGCCCCACGACTGACAAAAAAAAAAAATTACAATAAAAATTAAAAAATAACACAAAATTAGGCCTATAATTTTTGCTAAACTAACAATTCATGATACAGCTTAGCTTTTTCAGTTGCTGCTAAAATTATAATTCAAAATTCTTATTTGAAAAGCACAAATATTTTTTGCTATGTATTTTCAGCACCTTATGTTAAGACTTTTTGTACAAAATACTTTAGGTAAGAAAAATACAATTTAAATATTATATTTGTTCATAATAAGAAATATTCAAAGAACTAGATTCTAGTACAATTATATCAGGAGCTGGAATTGAACAAAATACTGTGAAAGTACAAACAAATGTAACAACTTTAAAATTCCTATTTATACACTCATTTGAATACAAGAGATCTTCTTTACTGCCAAGTCTTACAGAAAAAATGGACATATGATAGTCATACCTGCCACCGTTGCCATGGTTACATTTCCCTGCTGCAGGGCAGAGGCTGGTACCACAATTCCCTGGGGGCTGAGGGTGCCTGTGATGGCGCTTTGAACCTGCTAAACATTAGAGCACACATGGATGCGAGGACAAGCTGGCTGCGGCACCCATCACACCATGATCACCAGGTTGGTCCCGCTGAGCTGCTGGCTAGGCGGTGTCCCCTTCCTCCCGCACATGCTCCATGTGCCTCCCTCCCGAAGCTATGCACTTGGTCTAAGAGGAGAACTATCCCTGACAGAGAAGGATCGTCTTCTATCCAGGGTAGACAGGTAGCTGGGCTCCCCTGCTGGAAGCTCTCAAAGTCCCAGGGGGGAAAAAATCCCGTCCAAAACTCAAAGGAAGGGCATAATGCTATCACAACAGAGGGAAGGCCTGAGGTGCAGTGCAGACGCTCTGACAAGTTTTCAGAAAATAGGGTCCCTTATGGAAAAGAGATGCAAAATGACTGCTAAATGCAGTGATCAGCACTTAAACGTTGGTGTGCTTCAGTACTTACTAAGATAAAGAAGCAAATGGTACTCTATTCCACTCCCCATAGACAAGGCCAGGGTGGGTGGGGCCTATAATGTAGACGGAAGACCCACCCCTTCCCTCTACACCTCCATCCCACCCACCAAGCTCAGAAAGACATTTTCTCTGGCCCTAGTCACTCCGAACCAGACCAAGTTCAAAGAATCGGATCACTGCAGCGGGGCAGTCATCCAGTGAGCCCAGCACCTGTAAAGGTGCTGCTGGTCTCAGGAGCAACACCACAGGAAGCAGGCCGGGCCCTGGGGACAGTACCTGGGACTGCACAGGGGAGTAGGGGCTCCCAGGCTCCCCGCTCAGCAGGGTCTCGCTGTTCATCTTTGTCTTCAGACAGGCAATGTAGCGACTGCAGAAATCTTTGCAGAGTTCATTCACCTTTTCCAGCTCAAGAAGATGAATGCGCAGGACCTGGATTGCTTTCACCATCTAGAAAGAGTTAGTGGACGTTTAGCTGAGACCAGAGGACAGCAATCATCACTGTCACATGTGCCGGGTCTTGGTTAGTGGGTGGAGATACCTTGGATGCTAACAATGGAGGTGGAACCACATCTGAAACCACACATGGACAATGTCTCAGAGCTGCTGAATCAACTCTGGGCCTGAGGGGCATCTGGTCTACATACAACACGGAGCCCAAAGCCACCCTCAGAGCAGCCATGCTACAACTAACTCTGTCCCTACAGACATGGGGCCACAGCCCAGCCCCAACTCACTGTGGCTAAGCAGGTCTCTTTCCTTTGCGCTACTCCATCCCTACAGCCACACAATCCCATAAGTGTTTCCTAATTTCAAAAGCCCAGCTCTTCTAGATTGTATTTCTAGTGTAAATTCTAAGAACTCTGCTCACACAAAGATTTTCTCTTAAGTTTAATAACTTGGTATGAAGTCACTAAATTTTGAGGTAAGCTACCCCTCAGCAACCGACGACTACTAATAACATCAACTCTGCTGTCATCAGCACCCCTCTCCTGGGAGTCACTGGCCCTCTGCCTGTAAGCTTACACAGGAAGTACTGCATCAGGTTTGAGAAGTCTTGGAGGACACCAAGTCTTATGCCAAGATTAGGGATCTACCAAGAACAAAAGGTGGGCACACAGGCCTGCTGTGGAACCTTCACAAGGACCCGCACAAGCTGGCATGGAGGCAAGGATTCTTTTTATTTGTTGTTGGTCTTGGGGTTTGAACTCGGCCTGGGCGCTGTCCCTCAGCTCTTCAGCTCAAGGTGAGCACTCTACCACTTGAGCCACACACAGCACTACTTCTGGTTTTCTGAGTGGTTTATTGGAGATAGGAGTCTCACAGTCTTTCCTGTCCTGGCTGGCTTTGAACTGTGATCCTTAGATCTCAAGCCTCCTGAGTACCTAGGATTATAGGTTTGAGCCACCACACCGGGCTCAAGAGAGGAAGATTCTTTCACTCACTTGTCCAAAGAAAAGCACAGAAACCAGAAGATAGAACCATGGGTTTTTGATACATTGAAACGAGCTTGTTTTATAATGATACAATTCTCTAGTGAACTTCTTCACTAGAAGCTTAACATTTTGTGAAAGGATTTCAAAAGTTTTAAAAAATAAAACACTGACTTTACTTACTAAGTTATCTGTTTCCGGATCCTCACAGAAGAAGGGTTTCCCTTCTTTTTCCTGTTTCCTGACGAAGTTCTCAATGTCCACATCAAAACTGGCAGAAGTTGTTCCCTCTGAGCCTTGTGTGGACTGTTCACATTTTTCAAACAACAAAGCTAGTAGTGGGAATAGTGGATGCCTGGAGAGATAAGAAAAAAAAACAGGTGTGCTTTTTCCTGAGAATGCTTTGGCATGTGTGTGTGTGCGCACTTTCGCACATACACGTGTGCACGATTTATGTTTTTGAGAGAGACTGTCTCATTATGTAGCCCAGGAAGGCCTCCAAAATCACGATCCTCCTGTCTCAGCCTTCTGAGTGTTAAAATTATAAGAATGAATCTTTACCCCTGGCTTGTTTGTATGACTTTATATAGCGGCTTTGCTGAACTCTCAATTCTTCATTTAAAGTGCACAAGTCAATGAAGCAAAGCGCATTTTAGAGGCATGCAACCATTATCAGTAAATATTAGATTTTGATCACCCCCAAAGAAATGCTGTAGCCACTAGCAGCTGCTCTTCCCCGGGCCAATCCCATCACAAATCTACTTCCTTTTCTCCGTTTATTCTACTCATGTCATTGAAACAATTACACGTCATCACTGGAGTTTGGTTTCTGAGACTCAGCACGTTTTTGAGACTTATTAGTGTTGTAACCCACACTGGTCCTTTACTGCTCATGGCTGAACACTACTCTTAGGAAGGCAGCTCTTATTTCCTTCTCTATCAGTTGGTAGATGCCTGGCTTTGGGCTATTATGAACAATGTTAATGCCATCATTCCTGTACAAGTGTGTGTAGGATATACATGGTCATTTCTCTTAGGCATGCACAGTAGTAGTTTCTGGGTTGAACACAACTCAACTTTCTCTGTCTCACTCTTTGTCTCTCTTTTTGTGCTAGTCCTGGCCTAGGCACTGTCCCTGGCCTTTTTTGCTCATGGCTAGTGTTCTACCACTTGAGCCACAACTCTACTTCCAGATGTTTTTGGCAGTTAATTGAATAATCTCACAGACTTTCCTGCCCAAACTGGCTTTGAACTTTGGTCCTCAGATCTAGGCTTCCTGAGTAGCTAGGATTACAGGTGGGAGCCACCAGTGCCTGGCTGGGGGTGGGAAAGATTTTTTTTGGTACCACTTCTGTTTTTATGGTGGTTATCACGAGGACTTTCCTGCCCAGGCTGGCTTTGAACTGTGTTCCTCAGATTCAGCCTCCTGTGTAGCTAGCATTATAGGCGTGAGTCACCAGTGCCTGGCTGGGCGTAGGGATGTGATTTTTGAGACAGTATTCAGCTATATACCCCAGACTGGCCTAGAACTGGGATCTTTCTGCCTCAACCTCCCCAGTGCTAGGGTTACAAGGATACACTACCAATCAAACTTTCTGGTATTTTTTTAACTACGCAGTACATATCTCTTAGAAAACTCATGGATCGGGCTGGGAAGGTGGCTCAGTGGTAGAGCGCTTGCCTTGCATGCCTGAGGCCCTGGGTTCAATTCCTCTGCACCACATAAGCAAAAAAAAAAAAAACAAAAAAACAAAAAAACAAAAAACAACACATGGATCAAGTGGAAACCTCCGGAGAGCCCCAAAAGTGACCAGGGTGAGTGCTGTGGTATGTGCCCCAGCCTGCTCTAGGGGACACTGTGCCCTCCCACAGTTCATTCTCCAAACCCTTCTCACAAACTGGACTGATTGCATGGGTGGACAGCTTAGACAGTTGGCCATGGATCCCCGCCCAGTAGGACGCTCTGCTAGACCTTGCTTTAAAAACTCATTTTAACTTCCTTTTGTACCGACTGCACCAGTTCAGCGGCCAGTGCCGCTTCAGAGCCTGCCACTGACGGCAGCACGGTGGCCTGCAGTGTGCCAGTGTGCCATCCAACAGCCCCGCCGTTCCCCAGCACCCTCCCTAAGCCCTCTGCAGTTGGTCACATTTACAATGGAGGGCGCTGCAGTATGCAAAGGCCATCATCTTCTAGGAGAGATGCCTGCAACAGCATCAGAGAAACACTGCAAATATGACTAGGGCCACAGTCTAAACAGAGATAATAAACCTGCTTGTAAACCTTGACGACAATATGCTCAGTGACAAAAACCCCACTGTTGCAGGATTCCATTTATATTAAACATTGAAGTAAACTCTTTTGTTGTTGTTGTTGGTCATAGAGCTTGAACTTGGGGCCTGAGCTCTTTTGCTCAAGGCTAGCACTCTACTACTTTGAGCCACTTAGTTTTCTAGTGGTCAGTGTTAAGAGTCTCACGGACTTTCCTGCCCAGATTGGCTTTGAACTGTGATCCTCAGAGTAGTTAGGATTACAGGCGTGAGCTACCAGCACCCAGCTGGTAGTTAACTCATGCTGGTATCGGGTCTTGAACTCAGGGTCTTGTGCTCTACCACTTGAGCCATGCCTCTGTTCTGACTCTTCACTGGTTAACTTTCACTTTAGGCTGTTTGTCAGTTCCTTACTGGTCCTTTAAAGCTTTGGGGTATTAATACTTTGTGTGTGCATTACACACATATGCTTCCAGCCTGTTACTTGCCTTTTTTTTTTTTTTTTTTTGTCGGTCGTGGGGGCTTAAACTCTGGGCTTGGGCGCTGTCCCTGCGCTCTTCAGCTCAAGGTGAGAGCTCTACCACTTGAGCTCCAGCACCACTTCTGGTTTTCTAATGGTTTATTGTAGATAAGAGTCTCTAAGACTTCCCTGCCCGGGCTGGCTTTGAACTGCGATCCTCAGATCTCAGCCTCCTGAATAGCTAGGATTACAGGCGTGAGCCACTGGCGCCCGGCTATGTTACTTGCCTTTTAAATTATTTTTCCATGTAAAAGGTCTGTTTTGATACTCAAGTCTTCTTGCTGTTTTGAGTTTGCATTTGGGTGGTTAACTGGAGATAAGAGTCTTGCAGGCTTTTCTGCCCAGACTGGCTTTGAACCGAGATCCTCAGATCTCAGCCTCCTGAAGGCATCTTCAAGTGATGGCAACCTATATTTTGTTTTCTTCCAATTCGTTGTACATTTTTAATCTTGGATCTTCAAGTGGGATTTTGCAAGCAAAGACTCTCTCAGGTGGTCTTCCCATGTCACCAGCTCCTCCAATGTTTATGAGTCTTTTGCCTAATAACCTGAAATGCTGTGCCTCCCTTCACCCACAGTTCAGTGACCTCTTCCATACCATAGTGACCACTCTGTGCACTCTTGCCTGGAATCACGCCAACTGAAGGACTGTGACAAACAGGCTACTTTATAGCTTCCAGTCCCCTTCTAGTCCCACCTCTTCCTGCAGGGCAGGTAAATACCATTTTTATATTTCTTGGTGTGACTTTATTCAAGTGTTTCTCTTCTGAAGGGTTTGGAGTTGTTTTCATTTTTTATTTTTTTGTTGGTCTGGGGCTTGTCTGGGCCTGGGTGCTGCCCTGAGCTTTTTGCTCAAGGTTAGTGCTCTACCCCTTGAGCCACAGTGCCACTTCTGACTTTTTCTGAGTAGTTTATTGGATGTAAGAGTCCCACAGACTTTCTTGCCTGGGCTGGCAACCCTCAGATTTCAGCCTCCTGAGCAGCTAGGATGACAGGCACCGAGCTCTTCTTGTTTTAATTAATGATTTTCACACATTTTCCTGTATGAGATCAACTGCAGCATCTTTTGGTGGGGAGGTTCCTACTGGGCTTTGATTGTAGTAAGTTTATAAGCGGGTCTAGGAAGAACTATGACACGTAGCTCTGCTGTGCGTGGAGAGTAAGCCACGAGCACCGGGCTTGGCCATGTTTTGGAGATAGGACCTTGCTTCCTGGCTGGCATTTGCCTGGACTGCTATCTGCATATTTTGGGCTTCCTGTAGTTTCTGGAAAGACAGGCAGACTGCTCTTCATCTGGCCTTCTGGTGAGATGCATCTTTTGGACTTTTCTGCCCTGCCTGGCCTGGTACGGCCACCCCCTGGCACCAGTCTACCAGGTACCTTAGGGTGACAGGCACAGGCCACAGTGTCCAGCTATGAATTCAGAAGGGGTCTTACAAATTTTCCTGCCCAGGCTGGCCTTGAATCGAGAGCCTCCCACTCTCAGCCTCCCAAGTAGCTAGAGTTACAGGCATGAGCCACCAATGAAATATTTTTAACTGGATTAAAGAGATTTGAGTCCAAAGTTTAAAGAACTCCAACCACTGTATTTTAAATTGTTACTTGTAAACCGGACTGTCCCTGGTGTGCAGATCTGCATTTACACATGTGTGGCTATGTAAACGCTGCTGCACAAAGGATTCAAAGCAGCACCAGGACTCCCAAACCCTCCTTTTGCTCTGGTGTGGTTGTGCCACATCCAGACCCTCAGTACTGACTACTGCTGACCAGGTCAGCATCGCCACAGCAGTGCCATTCATGACATGGTTCAAGTGAAATCACATTGCTGGGTGCAGCTGGAACTCACCTGAGTTCCTGCACAGGGCCAGATTCCTCCCTTTTACATGTGCAGTGAGGCTGGGAAGGTGGCTCAGTGGTAGAGTGCTTGCCTTGCATGCATGAGGCACTGGGTTCAATTCCCCAGCACCACATAAGCAGAAAAAGCCAGAAGTGGTGCTGTGGCTCAAGTGGTAGAGCACCCACCAGCTGAGGGACAGAGCCCAGGCACAGAGTTCAGGCCCCATGACCAAAAATAATAAATAAAACAAAAAAATAAATATGCAGTTGCATGAATATACCACTGCTCACCTATCTGTCAGCTGAGAAATACTCTGGTTGTGCCTAATTCACGACAACTGGGAATATGGCTCCTACAAATGCAGATGTGCACTGAGCCAGGTATTTGAATTCCCATGTCTGCAGTAGCACTAACCAAGGTCAAAACATAGAAGCAACCCAAACATACCTCTATAGTTGGATAAACAAAATGTGGTAGATGCATACGGTATAATATTCAGTGTTAAAAAAGAAGAGGGGCTGGGAAGGTGACTCACCGGAAGAGTGCTTGCCTCGCATGCATGAGGCCCTGGGTTCAATTCCTCAGTACCACATAAGCAGAAAAGGCTGAAGTGGTGCTGTGGCTCAAGTGGTAGAGTGCTAGCCTTGAGTTGAAAAGCTCAGGGATAGCTGGGCCCCGGTGGCTCACGCCTGTAATCCTAGTTACTCAGGAGGCTGAGATCTGAGGA